TCACGATGTATACCTTGACATATACAAATCAAATAAAGAAATGATGTTTACCTACAAAAAAAAAAAAAAAAAAAAAATATTAATTAAAAAAATAAAATTAATTTATAAATTTGAGAAAAAAAACTTTTTCTATCAATTTTTTTACCAACTCAAAAAACAGATGTTTTCAAAAGATTTTATATTTTTAATATCCTTAGATTTATATTTAATAAATAAATTAATTGCAACAAGATAATATAAAAAAGTTCTAATAAGGTCTATTATATAAATAAAATAATTTATAGATAATGGATCTTATATACAGTAAATAATATATATTAATCAAAAACTTTCTAGTTAAAAATATACAGTATATGTACATATATGCAAAAAACATTAATGTTATATATTAATTAATACTGTATATTTATTTATTTATTTTAATGATTTAATATTAAAAAATAAATTGAGTATATATGATTCTTTGATAATTTATTTTAATAAACCAACGTAAAAATCATGAATTTATTGTGTGATTAATTATATAAACTACTATTGTTTTAGTAACACTATAACTTATACAATGAAATATAATTTGCGATAAAACTTGGTCACATTCAGAATGTACGTGTGATTTTATTTCATTGATCCAGGTAAATTCACGTTCATGTTTCTATTAAATTTTTCCCAATGGATGTCAGTGACATAAAATATTAGTCCATAAATGTTCGAATATTGATAATGGGCACCTTTGTCTTCACAGGATTCGAGTTCGAATCTCGCTGGTAGTTTACACTCAGTTGGGAACTACCATTTTTCATGCTACGTTGCTCAGTTTTAATAACGAGTTCCTATAAATAAAATAAGATATAAGAATGCTTAAAGTTAACCCATAGGCTATTAAAAACCCACCTACTTTTAATTCATAACATCTCTCCATGACAGAGAGAATTACAAGGAATTCTGCCACTTCTGTTGGAAAGGTCATTTCAACTAGAGACATGAACTGATATAAACCATCGTAATTTAAAGTAATTCTCCAAAACTCGATTCTGTTTCCTATTAAACAAATATATAATTAGAATATCGCTGATAAATAAAGGATTAACATTGATTATTTACCATTAATGAGTACACCATATGTTTCATCATAGATTCCCTGATCTAGTGCATCTTTCATAAGATTGGCCAATTTGGCAAGTGCCTGATTTACAACGAATTTATGATTTTCTACTTTTGGTGGTTTAATTTCACCAAATAAAATTTCAGATTGATTTTCATCTTCACTAATTAAACGAAGGTCTGGCTTTAATCCATGGGCATTGCCATCTCCTGAACGTTGACTTTTAGACGAACTACTCTCCCCATTTGCCCTATATAAAAAGTCAACAATTTTATTAGTATCTTGTAGAAATGCTTATCATAAAACAATATCGAAAAACTGGAACGAAGCCTTACTAAAAAGAACATACCACACAAGTTGCATATTTTCAATACGGAAAATTTCTTCCAAAATTACATGACAGGTTCTGTGGACGTAAGTGTCCTCATTTGACAAATTCTTATTTTTACCATATGGTAAATTGTAAAAACTACAAATAACATCATTAATTGTCATAAATACATCACAAGAAAATTACTTATAATAATATCAAATATTTTTTCTACTTACAAATTACGTGTTATGATCTGCATCGAGTCAAATATCCTCTTATCACTTTGATCTTCCAATAATGACACTTTACTCCAGTTCTGCCTCCACAAATCTTCAAATTCTGTTGAATCACCTCTCATTAAAGGCTTACGAAAGAGAAAAAAAATACATCATCAGTTTACTAAAATCTATATAGTATTGAAATTATATCTGTATATATTTACCTGCATGTATGAACATACAGTGACTTGGATAAGGACTGGTATCTTGAATTTATAAGTAATATGTGGGAATGCCATTCGCCACTCATTTTCAGTACACGAAACATAGATTGGCTTTTTGTTCTTTCTTAATATCATTATGCTTGATAACGCGCTATTATAAGTATCAAATGACATGGTGGACACCCTATTAAAAATAATAATAAATACATCGATATTTCCGAATTAAGTACTTACACTATTGATTCGATATCAGTTGCATAGCTCAAAGTTGGATCAGTTTTTAATTTTTCAATAATCGACTTCTGAAATTTCCGAAAATAATCTGAAAAGTTGTGTTCGTCATTAATCCACTGTTTAATGCAAATACACAAAAATATGATTTAGCAAGAATACAATATGCGAGAATTCATCAGTTCCAAAAACATTTCTGAACATACATCCTTCATAGAAGCTTCTTTTATTTCCATTCTTGGTATTGCATGGTCCCATGTAAATATTTGTTTAGAGTCCGTTTTAATAGTATATTCAGACATTCCATTACTACGTTTTCTCGCAGACTTAACATAATTTTTTCTAGTCTAAATTAAATTATATAAGTGGCTGTGCGAACATTTAAGATAATTTTGAAACCAACAAAATGATGTTCTTACCGTTTTTTCATCATCAGAAGTCCCACTATTCATATGTTCATTCTCATCATCATCATCGTCATTACTGTCTCTTTTACGTTTTCCAATAATTGCATCAGTTATATCATCTAATGCTTTCGATTTAGATACTTGAGCCCGCAAGGACTTAATGTTATTTGTTACTCACTGTCATACTAGTATACTGATAAGTTGTATAAAATACTGTATATGAACCTGTTTTTCCTGAATGTCAATTTCATTTTCCTTCATTAATTGTCGTCGCTCAACGCGCTCAATAATTTTCTCAGCAAGCTCCGTGAAAAAATTTTTTTTCGACTATAACATTATTGTTTAGATTTATAGAATTTTGAGAAGCAAGATTTATCGCAAAGTCTACCTTCATAAACATCTTTAGATTTTTTACATACTCCGTAACGAATTTGGGGTAACCGCCTCTCTCGATGCAAGCTAGTGACCTGCAGAAGGTTCTATATAATTCTTTTGCTGTATGAATTAGGCCGTCCTCCAGCTTGAAATTTATATACACGTCCAAAAGATGCCATTTAGAAATTGGAATCGCTGAGAAATAAGTATCGATTTCTACATGCGCAGGGACTTTATAGTCCATATTTCTAGATGAGAAAGTATCAAGTACGCGTTGAGGCATTCTCAATTTTTATTGGTGAATTACGTGTCTCTGTTTCTTTCTTATTAAGGAAAGGCTTCGGCAATCACATTTAATTGGTAGAAATTGTACACGCTAAGAATCTGATTTTTATCAGCGATCGAAAAATCTGACTGTAAGATAGGTATCATGATATTTCTTTCACTGCCTTTCTACGAGGGCCTTGCAGAAATGTTCGCCTTCACATCATCCCTACGCTTTGGACTTGGGAAACCTCTCCAAAGTTTACGACTTGTGTTTTCACTCTCGGGAGGTGTATCGTAGAAAGAGATGAGGGTCTTGCAGAAATGCTCACCTTTTACACATTCCTACGCTTTGGACTTGGGAAACCTCTCCAAAGTTTACGACTTGTGTTTCACTCTCGGGAGGTGTATTATCGCGCAGTGATAAACCGCATATAAAAAAAAGCTATCCAATTTTATTTTTTTAAAGCTGCCTACTTTTTTCAGAAAATCAACCTGTAAATTCTGTGTTGGGATCAGGTCAAATTTCACTAACCATGAAGAGATAGTTGAAGAAAAGTTTCAGGTATAACGATTACACTAGTATGATTTTTGGTTGTGTTTGCAAATGAATCAACTTCTAGACATGCAAACTAATGATTATAATTGATTATTCTTTATACAGATTTCCGAGAGTTTTATTTGTAGGAAACAAATTTTCAGCGGGTTTTTCCTCAGTCTGAAAAAAAGATATAGTTTGGTATGACCAAATAACGTACTGTAGGTATTAATTATATTGCAATCGATTAAGCAATAACACATTAGTGCTATTTTTCACTTTGAAGATCTGAAGCCTTCAAAACTCCTTAACAATACAGTATGATCAACATGAGATCGATGTTGATGTCCCATATATAAATGAAAGAAAATTTTATTACGCATTTTTATTCCATATTTATTTTTACCACGTCAATAAAATTTGCTCTGGTGGCTGATTTTGCATGTGTATTTCAAGAATTTATTTTTTCCGGAGTATTGCTATATAAAAAAAATTTAATAATTATTCATTATGACAAATTTATAATAAGATCGCTATTAGAATTTCAAAAATTTTGTATAGTTTTTCAATAATCAATTTAAATATTGATTTATTTATACTGTATAGATATAATAAGAAATTATTTGTTTTAAATTTTAAATTTCAAACTCTTATATACAAAAAATTTAATTAATAATCTTGTTTTATTTTTTTTTCTTTTTATTTTATTAATTACATATATAATCTTCTGAAAGAACCATTAAGATTATATGTATAATATAAAGTAGTTTATATTATTTTAATCTTTAAAAAAAAACTAATTTAAAATATATAAAACTTATGAAAAAAAATCAAATCAATAATACTTAAAAATATAATTATAAATTTCATAGTTTTTTTAAATTATAATTTATTTAAAATAAGATTATTGTTATTATCTTGTTATTGAAATTTATATAAAACATTAATTATATATTCTTATAATCTAATAATTTTATTATATTATTTATATTATTAATAATATAAGATAAAACAATTGTTGTATTATTTTAATTAATAATGATATAATATATAATATAATTAATTAATATAAAAATAAAAATTTTTAATAAAAATATATTAATTTTTAAATATAAATAATTATAAACAAAAATAATTAATTAACTTGAAAATTATAAAGAAATTCAAAATATTAATTATTATTAATAAAAAATAAAAATAAACTTTTTTTTATTTTCTTCTTCTATACTTGAAATTTTTTTTTCTTTTTACTACTTTTCTTTTTCTATATATATATATATTATATTTTTATATTTTTTTTCTTTTTTCTATTAACTTTTATTTTTAATATATTCATTTTTTATTTTTATTTTTTATTTTTTTCTTATCAAAGTTAAATTTTTTTTTCTAAACCTTCTTTTCTTTAAATTGCTGATTTTCTTTTTATCACTTTTCTAATCAATTAACTTTTTTTTCTTAAAAACTATATTAAAAATTTTTTTAAGTTATAAATTTTAGGAAATTTTTCTCTTTTATATTTTTTTAGAAAAAAAATAAATAGTTTATTCTTTTCAAAAGATTAACATATTATTATCAAATTCAATATTGTTTACTTAATGATAGTTATATTAGATACATTTAAGAAATTAACATACAATTATTATTATTTTAACTTTCAAGAAATTATATTTTACAATATTTAGTTAAATAGTAGTCAATATTGATATAAAATTTTACAAGTGTTATACTAATAACTGAAATATTTAGTAAAATAATATATAGTAATTAGAAATTCTAATTATTTCTATAAACAAAACTAATAATAATAATAAAAGTTTCTTGCTTAATACAAACACATATATATAATTAAATAATAATGTCTTTAAGAAACTTTATTTATTAGATACTTTTGTTATACTTAAAAAATAAATATATTAAATTCTTTATATAACTTGGAGACTAACTTATAAAAAGTAACTATAGTACTTTCATATATAAAAAAAATAAAAAAAATTTTTTTTATTAACTTCACTTGTTATATATTAAGTTAACTTTAAAAAACAAGCATGTCAAATTTCAATTATAACTTGAAGACAAATTTATATACTTGATTGTAGTACTTTTATATAATTAAAAAAATTTTTTTTCCCTCAATCAAGTTGGTGTCATTTATTTATTAAATCAAAATGAACCATTACAAATATAAATTGTATGTATAAATTTCTCTGATTCAGCTCACTCATCTGTGACAAAGAGTCTCTAGATGCAATTTATGAGGATGATATATTGCTCGTCCATTAATTGGGATTAAGATTACATTTGTTTAATAGAGTCAAAGCTTGCAAATCATTTCTACAGATCATATGCCATAAACCCAGATTAAGTTTTTATTTAATCGTTTACCATTTTTTCCCACTTTTTATGAACTCCTGTATTAGTTCTCTAACCTTGTCTAGTCTATTTATATAATCTTCCATCTTGTACCTTGTCTTTTCTTCACTTTTTTTTTTTTGTTGTTCTGATTATTTGATGACTGGATACTAATGGTGCTGTTGATTTCTGTGGGTCTGGAATTATAAAAGCTATTTATATTAATATTATTATATTTATTAAATTATATATTTTTCAAAAAATATATTTAAATAAAGTTATTAGATCTATTATTTGTTTTAATATAACCTTTATATATAATTTTATTATGATATTACTTACTGTATTATTTCAAAATTCTCAAAAAAATTTTTTTAATTATTCGATCAAATTTTATTAAAACAATACAAAAATCAAATCTATTCAAACTGGTTTTTTAATACAATAACAATAACTATGGTGGCTATCATCTATAAACCACACTAGTCCGAAATTTTAAATTTCGATCTTCACGTGATTTAAAATATAAGT